GGGGATTACGCCCAAATGCAACCTCCCCGGAAAGGGTTTTTCTTGCTATTCAGAGCTGCGAGTGCGCAGAGTTGGGACAGCTTCCCTCTTAGGGTTATAGCCCTAGTCTTTCCTGCCAGCTTCAGAGCTTCATTGAGTCATAACTACAAGTTAGGTCAGTACAATTGCGCTTCTGGTACAATTGGTATCATTGCCCACCAGACCTTCAGCTCGCTTTTTCAAACAAAAGGGGGAAACTACAAATAATTGGAGGTAAGTATCAGGAGCTCTAAATTTAGGAAAGACTTCCTCTTCCACCTCCACTTCTTGTGCCTGAAACATTTCCTTTTGAAAGCAGAATAGACCTGTGTATTTCAGCTTGGCAGTAAATGGTCACCTTTCCGCTTAGCGATCACTTACATCCACGCCAGGGCCATCTTGAAGCAACCTCCATGGTAGTCTCTCAGGACGCACTTTTGCCTTCTCCAGTAGTGCTCAGAGGCAATGACAGGGAGATTCCCATGGCAGACTTGCTGTACCAGCATGTGATCTGAGAGCCCTTTGCAAATTAGATCCTCATTTAACATTGTACTTTTTTCTCCCATAACCCTTAGTAATTAGTGTAACAGATATGACAGCATTTGTGTTTTATCTGAGTAAAATAATGATTCTTTTACAGAAGTGTTCCTGAAGAAAAGGCCCTCGAAGGAATCTTACTGAATTGTGGACTCTCCAATTACGGGAAAGCTACATGAGTGCCTCTTTAGAGGACCTGGTTTCCCTGGTCCCAAGGGTTCTGTTAATGAGAAAACTCTCCAGGCTAGCATGCTATAAGCTGGCTCCAGCAGCCCAGGTTGACAATGGCTGAGGCCACTTTCTACCATTCCTGACTGTCCTGCCTGAGGAGCATCAGGTCTGGGAGTGGGAGCAGCACTGGCTGGAGGAGGGAGAGTTGTCCTTGCAGAAGTGGCTAAGCTGGACAACTTCAACAGATTGGTTGAATCCACACAGAGGTTGGGAAGGGAGAGGTATTTATCAAGTCATCTTAAAACTTTTAGTCTCTTAGGGATTCTCTTCCCTCCCACACACTACTTTTTAAGCGTGTAAGTCTGAAACCAGATTACTTGTGATTTGGGCCAAGTCATTTAATCTTTTTGTGCCTCTATTTCCTCATCTGTAGATGGGAATGATAAAAGCACCTGCCTAGAGCTGTTATGAGGATTACATGAACAGTACCTAGTACATAGGAAGTGCTGTCCAAGTATTTGTTTTAATTGTTTCTCCTCCTTCTTACCTCCCTGGGATTGGCCTGTTCTGCTGATTTCTTCGTTTCTACAGTGATTCCTTTATAAATTCACATGTTTAATTTTTTCCAGGTCTCAGCTCTTACACACAGTCAGGAAGTAACTTGACAAGAAATGCAGAAGGAGAATAACTCTTTCTCTAGTGTCACTCAGGAATATACCATCTAAATGTCAGTAACAGAGGCTCTTCCCTCTGCAGGAGAGTTGTGTTAAACTTTGACATTCTGTGGTCTTCTGGAGGTTCTGAAAGTAAGAGACCTAAGGAGACTGGGGAAAAAAAAAAAACAAACAAAAAAACACCTGCTATTTAACAGGATCAGCATAAGAGAGTTATGAATACTTAGCACAGTCTGATTAAGTTCAGAGTGAGGCTAGAGCAGGAGGAAATCCAGCTCAGCCCTGCCCTTTCCATGATTTTTACTGTTTAGGAGCTCCATCTTTTTTTTTTTTTTTTTTCTTGAGACAGAGTCTCACTCTGTTGCCCCGGCTAGAGTGCCGTGGCATCAGCCCAGCTCACAGCAACCTCAAACTCCTGGGCTCAAGCGATCCTTCTGTCTCAGCCTCCTGAGTAGCTGGGACTATAAGCATGTGCCACCATGCCCGGCTAATTTTTTTCTGTATGTTTTTAGTTGTCCAGCTAATTTCTTTCTATTTTTTTAGTAGACACGGGGTCTCGCTCTTGCTCAGGCTGGTTTCAAACTCCTGAGCTCAAATGATCCTCCCTCCTCTGCCTCCCAGAGCTCTAGGATTACAGGCTTGAGCCACTGTGCCCGGCCAGGAGCTCCATCTTTGCTGCCCTGTTGTCTGGGATATAAGTTGTAAATATGTTTCCATGTTTTTGTCTTTGACTTTGCTTAAGATGCTTTGTTTTACCTCACGGGAGTTTTTATTCTTTTTATGTGGGGTCAAATTTATCAGTCTTTTTATTTATGACCTCTGGATTTTGGCTCATAATGAGAAAGGCCTTCCTACTATGAAGTTATGTAAGACTCTTTTTCCTCTGATGCTTTTTTGGTTTGGTTGATGACATTTAAAACTTTGATTTATTTGGAATATTTCCTAGTGTATAGCATGAAGTAGGAATCCAATTTAATGTCTTTCCAAGTGATTATCCAGTTCTCTCTATACATTTATTGAAGAGTCTACTGTGCTTTTTCTTACTTATGTGTTACCTTTATTATATGCTAAATTTCTGCCTGTGATTATGTCTATATCTGGACTTTATGTTCTGTACCATTTATCTATCTCGTCAGTACCACACTGTTTAAGTCTTAAGGCTTTATAATATGTTTAAAATCCTTTGGGGAAGTGCCCCTTCAAGTACCCTTCTTTTTCAGTTTTCCCAGGTAGTCTTACTTGTTTATTTTTTTATGTCAACACTAAAACCTTCTAAAAAGCAGGTATTTTTACTGGAGTGGTGTTAAATTTACAGATTTATTTTGGGATTAGTCTGAGTGCTAAGCCCTGAGGAGCCATACAGTAACTCACTGGGGAGGCAAGCTCCATATTCAGTTATCGTCCAGGTTGTTTAATTTGTTGTCTGACCATGTAAATTTTATTTACTTTCTCAGTTTTCTTATATATGAGAGGAAAACTTTAATGTCTGCCCTGCAGGATCAAAGGAAATAAGAAGTGTAAAATGCCTTCTTCGGAGTAAATAGAATCCTTTCTTCACACCTCGCACGCCCACCACATTCTTGTACGCTCATGAACCACTGAGAGGGAAGCCTCCAAGATCCTAGAGCGGATGATCAGTTGCAGAAGGTCGGGATTCCGCGGAAATCGACCTCTCTAGGCCGACAGGTGTCTTCAATCATTTGATCAGTTAGTTTAATCGCAGTTTTGCAGGTGAGTTCCCTCCTGACTTTCTACTAGGGTTTGGGGCCCAGGCGTGAAAGCGAACGGCCACTTAGGGAGAAACTTCCTGCGCCAGGTCATCCCAGGCCTTCCCTTTCCACCCCCTCATTCTTCTAAACCCCTCCCCTCTTTCTCACACTGCCCTTTCTCTTTCCTCCCTTTTCCTGTCTCCCTGTTCTCTTCCCTCGTCGTCTTCTCCCTCACCCCCCTTGCCCTGTGAACTGGCAGAGCTGACCCCCAGAGACCCTGAAAGAGAGTATGGCTGGGGCGGGAGGTGCTCTGCGCCCGAGAGCTTTACCAAGCTCGCATCTTGGGTACCGCCCCTGGCAGTGTCTCAGTCTCAAAAGACCCTTAAACTCAGGAGTGATCGTGAGACCCCGACTCGATTTTTTGACAGGGCTCAGTAGCCGAGGGCAGGATGGGGGAATGGAGTCCTTATTTTCTCTTAGCCCTGGATCCTCAGCTCTCCTTTACGATGTTTTTTGGGTTTTGGGTTTTTTTTTTTTTTTTTTTTTTAGAATTTCGCTTGTCGCTCGATGGGGATTTGACTGTTTTTGTCATTATTATACTGAGGTTATAGGTTTTCAGGAGGAAGACCACAGAGATGAAATGCCATTTTTATCATATCAAGGGTGCATACTGTTAACTTGACTTACCACTGTGGAGACATAGAACAATTTGTAAAAAGGAAAAAGGCAGAGAGATAATTAGTGTAATTTGAATTTGGAGCAAATATTTTACCAAGTTCAGAGACAAAATTGTGTTTGTTCCCAGGGGATAAGAGAGTGGCAGCAATCAGGCCAGGCGCAGGGTGAGATGGTTGAAACTTGTAATCCTAGCACTCTGGGAGGCCCAGGTGGGAGGATTGCTTGAGGCCAGGAGTTCCAGACTAGCCTGAGCAAGAATGAGACTGAGTCTTAGTTACAAAAAAAAAAAAAATTACCCAGGCATGGTGGCTTGCGCCTGTAGTCCCAGCTACTCGGGAGGCTGAGACAGAAGAATCACTTGAGTCTGGGAGTTTGAGGTTATAGTAAGCTGTGATGATGCCACTGCACTCTAGCTGGGGTGACAGAGCAAGACTTTGTCTCAAAGAAAAAGAAAAGAGTGGCAGCAGTCCACCAAGTTCTCCACACAGTGGTCTGAACTATAAAGATGGAATGGGCTGGTAGGATCCCTTTCTTTGCAGAGGCGAAGGGTTTACTCTGTCACAATTCCAGAGGAGACAAAGCATCCCTGTTACTAAGATACTGTTTATCATAGCAACAACAGCTGCAGCAATAGCAGTAGCATAGCAACAAGCGGAGCTTTTTGTGTTCCCATCTCTCTTCCAGCTCAAGTAGTATGGATTCCTGTGGGTGGTAAAACATGTTAATGATGTTATTGTCATTTTTCCAAACTTGGTGAATTTCTGTTTCTTTTGCTTCCTCTATTCCCATAATACTTCATCTGCTTTATCTGCAGATTTCTTCGGGGTTTTTTTGTTTCCCAGTTTAATTAAGTAATGATTAAAAGTCTTTTAAAGTAGGAATTATATTATTTTTATATTCATGTATATCCCAGATTCTGTGTTTTAGATACCTTTATAGAGGATAGATTTAAGTAAACATTTGAGTCAGATGTTCATAGTTTTTTGATGTTACTGAGTCATGGTCTGGACTGAATAAAAACATTTGACCTGGCTGCCATACAGTTGGTGTGTCCTGGAATTACCAAACGTGTTAGAGAGCCCTAGATGATATCACGTTATATAGCTTTAGCAACAGGGAGTAAAAATACATTTGAAAGGTCTGTTTATTATTTCAGGAACCAATCCAGAGGTATGAACAAGGTCTTGACTCTGAAGGGAAGATTTTTGTAAGGATGGACCCACACCAGAAGATCCCTGGTGTATATAATGGGGATACTTTACTGATTCCTGAGTATGAAAAAGTCTCTCGGTGTGAGGACCAGTTAGAAAGGCATGAGAGCAGGCCCACAGAAGAAAGAAAGTATAAATGCAGTGAATGTGGAAAGAAGTTTGCCCAGAGCTCAGGCCTTGTTCGACATCGGAGAATCCACACTGGAGAGAAACCCTATGAGTGTGATCACTGTGGAAAAACTTTTAGCGTGCGCTCAACCCTCACTGTGCATGAGAGAATCCACACTGGCGAGAAGCCCTATACTTGCAATGAGTGTAAGAAAGCCTTCAGTGTAAGGGCACACCTGATTATACATCAGAGAATCCACAATGGAGAGAAACCTTATGAATGTAATGAGTGTGGCAAAGCATTTAGTGTGAGCTCAGATCTTATCAAACATCAGAGAATCCATACTGGTGAGAAACCTTATGAGTGTGATGAGTGTGGGAAAGCTTTCAGTGTAAGCTCAGCCCTCGTCAAACATCAGAGAATCCACACAGGAGAAAAGCCATATGAGTGTAAGGAGTGTGGGAAGGCCTTCTATGTGAATTCAGCCCTTATTAATCACAAGAGGATTCACTCTGGAGAAAAGCCTTATGAGTGTGGAGAGTGTGGAAAAGCATTCAGCCAGATCTCAACCCTTATTCATCACCAGAGAATCCATACTGGAGAGAAACCATATGAGTGTGATGAGTGTGGGAAGGCTTTCCGTGGGAGCTCTAATCTTACTAAACACCAGAAAATACATGCCAAAGGAAAGTGTTATCAGTGATTTATGTGGTGAATATATTCCAAAGGCTTTTTGTTGCATCAGAAGATACCATCAAAAGAAGAGTACGGTAAAAATTAATACCTTAATTGACACTTCATCTCTTGGAATATTAAAGACGTGAGAAGTCACTGAAAAGTGACTCCATCAGCATAATGACTAAGGCTTTAAAATCACATCTACTTCTGAGAATGCAGTTTTACAACCCATAAGGTAAAGCCATTGAAAAATCATATACCATAATGTAGTTTATGTTGGCTTAGTAAAAGCAAACTGCAGTAATTCAAACATTTTTATTTCTCTTATGTCCAAGCCTTTTGTTGTTTTTTTGCTACCAGTATTATACATGAAACATTAAATTTTGAAATTGGAAACAATGTTGATTAGAGAGGGACCACATATCCTCATTGAATCTGGAAATATCAACCTGTTGATCTTTTTTTTGCCTTTGATGTATCACTGTGCTCTCAAGGATGATTAAATGCTGTTCACCAGACAATAACCTAACTTCCTAACCCTAATCCCCAAACCCTATTTGTGCACATGTGAAACTCAGAAGAGCAATACACACTTTAAAATTACTTTGTTATTACTTTTCTATTTTAACAGTGATTTCTCACTCCTGAGTAACAAACCTGAAATTTTTGATCCCTGAAATTTAACTCATAAGAGGTTCAAGATGACTATCAAATTTATAGAAATTGTAGATTGCCTTGATGGTCCACAGTTTAAACAGGTAGGAGGGAACACTGGAAATAAAATGGTGTTCTCAGAGTAGGGCTCTGTGTTGCAAAGGGATGCACAGTTTCCCTGAATTCTCCTTTAATACTTCAGCTGTAAGACACATTAGACTTCATGAAGCTCTGAGCCAACTTGTGGCCAGGAGGCACTGAGGTCGTCTGTGACCTCAGTGCATGTGAAAAGGCACATTATGAAGCCTCTGGTATTGGGATAGTGCCAGCTACCTTGTCCAAGCAGTATTAGGCCTGGATATGGGGATTGAAAGCAGAGAAAGTCATGGTTCTGGAGCTCAAATTGAGGAGATAGGCTGTCACTCAGGAAATGGGACATGTGAAAAAGTAAAGCACATACTATACTTACAGGCAAAAGTGAAGGGCCCCAGGAGAATACCAGGAAGTTCTCTTTGGTATGCTGGGTTCAAGTGTGAATTCCTTCGCCCTACTTCCTTCTTATCTTTGGCAGTTGAGGGAGATTGTGGTTTCTTTTTGATCTGACCTGTCACCCCATTTCTGTGCTATTATCTTAAATGTTTTTAGTGTTGACCTTTTTGACCCCAGCTGTCTTGGTTTGGTCCTAGGATGGAGGTTTACAGAGTCATCTGGGTGGAGAACACCTGGGATCAGTAATGAAGTGTTGCCATATCCTACCCCAAACCACACAACTAAATACTAAGCAGTGAATGGTGAGTATTCTGAAGACTTTGAAGGAGCAGACATTCTGGAAAGAGAAATTTCTTTTATTGAAGAATTTGTTTAGCAATCAGGATATGTGTACCATAGTTACTTGTTTGAGCTCAAATTAAAGCATTAATGATGATTTGTTTTAGGATGGGCCTTGTGCCAGGTGCTAGGAATATAAAAATAAATGAAAAAAAAAAAAAAAGCACCCTATTCTCAGGGGACTTAAGGTCTATTTGAAGACAAGGAGCAGAGAGTAGATAGAAAATAATGATTACGGTGATAAAGCCACTGGATTTGTAGAGTACCTTGCACTGAAGAAAGTATAACAACAACTCATGAGACAGGCTTTGTAGGAGGATGAAAGCTTGGAGAAAAATGAGTTTTTGAGCCACCTGCGTGAAAAAGAAGAATGGGGAAGGTACGGTGGGAATAGCATATGAAAAAGCACAGTACATCTGGGTGAAGAGAACAAAGTTTTCAAGGACTGATCATAGAATACATATATGAAAGTAGTATACCATGACCAGATCATGAAATTCTTGTTTGCTGTGCTAAAAAGCATGAAATATATTCTCTAGGCTGATGTTTTTCAAACAATTTGTGGAATAAGAAATGCCTTTTATGTTGTAACCATTATTGGGAGAGACAGTCCTCCTTGGGCCTCTTGCACTCCTACATGTCTTGCTGGGTGTGCCAGCACTGCAAGGATATGACAACTCTTTTACCTAAGCTACTTCTCAGCATTGTTTATGCAGCTGGTATCCTTGAGAGATGAGGTAACATCTCTTGGACAAAGTAGGCTTACTAAGCTTGCATCTTGGTCATTTGGTGTTCTTTTAGAAAGTTCCTGTTATATTTTTATACATGTTCTAGGAATTGTTTACATACTCTAGATATGAATCCTTTTCATAGGGGATACAAATATCTCCAACTCTATGGCTTGTCTTTTTATTCTCTTAATGGTATCTTTTGATGAATATTAGTTTTTAATTTTAATATAGTCCTGGATCAATTTGTTTCCTTTTTTATGTATATGACTTATTTTGTGTTGTTTGAAGAATTTATTCTCTGCCTTGAAATCATGAAGATAATTTCTATAATCTTAAAAAGTTTTCTAATTTGCTTTTTCATTTATATCTATAATCCATTTGAAATTGATTTTTGTGCATGAGTGAGGTAGAGTCAAATTTCATTCTTCTTCTTAAAGATATTCATTTGATCCTGTGTCACTTATAGGAAAGACTGTCATTTCCCACTGTTCTACAGTGCCAATTTCTCATAAATTAATTTTCCATATATGCATGAGTGTTTGGTTTCTCTATTATGTTCCATTGGTTTATTTGGCTATCCATGCATCAATACCAGATTTCCTAATTATTGTAGCTTTACATCATTTTGGTATCCATTGGAGCAAATCATCCCACCTGAGGAGTCAGGCTCTGGCCAAATTTCTATATGTGATTTTTCAGACCTGACCATAGGCAATTATGAAGGCCTCACCCCTCATGGGGCAAAGCTACCCTACCCATACCAGATTTGGGGCACAACCAATGCATTGCATTCTGTGAAAGATGTTACAGTCAAAACTCAGACTCCTCAGCTAGCCACGCTCTTAAACATATGTCTGCATTCCTAATCTGGGTATCTCCCTTAAGATGTCTCTTTATTAAATGCCTCCCCTAAGCAATTTGAAGCCTCCCTTATTGGGATCAGGAAATTTGAAGACACTTTTCTCCTCTCCTAGCATGTTTCCCATTTCCTCTTCCCAACCCCCAGATCTATAAAATTGCTTGGATCTTTTGTTTGGGGCTTTCTTGGTAGTGAGATGATCCTCATATCTATACTGATTCATCTGACCCTTGCCTGGCTCAATTCCATGAGTAAGAATGGAACACTGTAGGAGCCAGCACTTTGTTCTGTTGAGCCCCTTGTTAATGCTATTGCTGATTAAAGCTTGACTGATACTTTATCATTTTGGCCTGTTTTACCTGACTGCTACAACACCTGACAGCTCAGCCCTTTCCAGATCAGCTCAGTTCTTGATACCACCTTCTTTTCTTACTTAATAAGTGGCTTGGCTGTTTCTGGTTCTTCACATTTGTGTACAAGTATTAGAATCCACTGTCTATTTCTACCCACACCCTCCAAAAAAGTGTATTGGCATTTTGATTGGGATTGTATTGAATCTATGGATTAATGGGGAAAATCAGCATTTTTATGTGAGTCTTCTAATCCATGAACATGGTATAGCCTTCCATTTCTTTAGGGTCTTGTTTAATTTTTCCCAATAATACTTTATGGTTTTTTGTGCAGAGGTCTTGAACATCTTTATTAGATTATTTATTACTAGGCATTTGATATTTTTTCCATGTAATTGTTAACGGTATCATTTTTTTAAATATTTACTTTTTGTTTACAGAGACTTATAGTCGATTTTTATATATTGACTTCATATCCAGCATTCTAATTTATATGTAGATATTTTTGGTTTTTATATATACCATTTGCAAATAATGACAGTTGTATTTTTTTCTTTCCAATTTTTATACCTTTTTTTCCTTACCTTATCACACTGGTATGAAATCCAGTACCGTGATAAAAAGAAGTGGTGATAGCTGGCATCCTTGTCTGGAAGGCATACTGTTACCTTAGCTATAGGTTCCTTTCTCCAGTTATCCATCTTGAAATTAGCCTTCTCCTATACTTCCAACATTTTTGAGACTTGGAGATTCCAAGTCTCTGCTGACCGTTTACTTCTTGGGCTGCACATTCAGTGGAGGAGAAATAGTTTCTCAGGGCTGCCAGTCCCTTAGGCTCAAAAAAAATGATTTTCTGATTTGTTACTCTCAGACCTTGTGCCCTTCTAATGGATGTGGTTTTGGTAATACAAGTTGGCCCTTCTTATCCACAGGTTCCACATTTGTGGATTCAACCGATTGCGGATTGAAAATATTCAGAAAAAATAATAAAACAATAAAAAATAATACAAATTTTAAAAATACAGTATAACAACTATTTATATATCATTTACATTGATTTAGGCATTATAAGTAATCTAGAGATGATTCATAGTATATGGGGAGGATGTGCATAGGTTATATGCAAATACTGTGCCATTTTATATAAGGGACTTGAGCATCCTCTGGGTTCCTGGAGCCAATCTCCCACAGATACCAAGGGACAACTGTATATAGTCAATTCTCATTTTAATAATAGTTGGGTTCTATAAAGTTGCTACAAATACCAAATTAATACTTAACTATTGTTCCTAGAGGAAGTGCAGGGTTATATTCTTTTGAGTCTCTAGTCACAGCATTTTCCATCAAAATGTCATTTGCATTGTATACATTTGTTTGCCAACATTGTTGTAAAACAACCCAGTCTCATCAGGATTGGAAAACAGCTCTTCCACATAACTCTTTTCCTGTATAATACTGCACAGATATTTTAAAAATATTCCACAGCCTGCTGATCTGTAGAACCTACCTCACCTGCAAGTTTATGTTTTCCACACTATTGATGTGTGAGTCAACCAACACTAGCTGAGAAGGGCTTAACATTTTCCTGACCCTGGTTAACCTG